GTCTATACTTACCTGCTCTGTGCAGTAGTTTTGCACAGAGAAGCCCAGATCCTCCTCTTCTCGGGTCCCCCGCCGATGCTCTTGGCTCCTCCCTCCTGTTGGGTTCCCATAACAAACAGCTTGCTATGGGGGCATCCAAACAGGAGCGCTCCTGAGCCCCTTCTCTGTGTGTCCTTTCACACACAGAGCCACGACTCAGCCCTGCCCCCTCCTTCTCCTGATTGGCTCACTGGTTGTGATTGGCAGCAGCTGAAGCCAATGGCCCCCACTGCTGTTCCCTTAGCCAATCAGGTGTGAGAGTCCTGTAGAACCCAGGCTCTCGTGGGCATTGCTGGATCAAGAGGAGGCTCAGGTAAGTGTTGGGGGACTGCTACGCACAAAAGGGAAAAAAAAACTTGAGACTTTAGAACCACTTTAAATATAAAAGTGAGCGAATTTCAGTTTGAAGAACTAGTGTCATGGGGGCAGGGTGCACAGTCTGAAAGCAAAAAGATAGTTTCTTGGCACACATGACACTCAAATGCATGAGGACTTACTGTAAAGAGATTTAATCACTTAGCCCTGGTTCACACTGATGCGGTGTGGAATTTGCAGCGTTTTCTGTGTGAATTCGGCACCGCATCAGAATTGCACCCCGTTCATGCGAACCGCCGTGGGTGTGTATGTTAAGCTAACAACACCCCGAAAGTGGTGTGATGTGCAGAATCGGATCGCATAGGTGTGAATACCCATGCGATCCAATTTTAGTGCGGACCCAAAAAAGTGTCCTGCACCTTTTTGGTGCGGGTGCGGTGCGATTAGAGCCATACAAAATGTATGGCTCCAATCGCACCGCACACAAATGTGTGATTTTCACAGGAATGCAGTGTGGTTCCTGTTCACTGTGCGAATCACAGCGATATAACGCACCGCATACATGTGAACCCGGGCTAATACACTGCTTACTGGGTAGTCAGTACATTTATGGAATTAAAAGGGTTTTAAAGTTGTAAACCCTTACACATAGCAAATGAAGTGATACACAAAGATGAAACCAATCCTCCTACATATGTTGTACCTGTTTATCGACAGCCGTCTATCCCCTGCATTCATTGAAAGTGCAGAATTCAGACAGGATCTCTCAGCTCTGAAAAGCAGGAGGCGGAGAGCTGAAGTTACAACAGTGAGGAGGGGTCTGAGAGCTGATTGGAAGGAAGAGACACACCCCCTTCACACAGCACACAGGAACAGAACTAAGGCTGTCAATCTGCTGGAGGTCCCTCCCCTGTCACAATTTTTCTCTTGGTGTCAGGAAAACTTGTCAAAAGTGATTCATGCTGACAACAGAGAAATAAAGCAGCAGGCAGAAACAACAATTGGTGCTCTGGATAGAGACAACTACACACTATAGAGGGATATGCATTGTTCATATTTCATGTCTGAGGTTTACAACCACGTTAAGGAATGAGCACCTCATGATAGAAATAAGTCAGCTGCAACTGCTGACTTACTTTTGATGTAAGCTCCAAGGGTGTCATCCTGATGTTGAGTAACTAGCCTGGAATATGCAAAATGCTGGTTTTGGGTCAGAGACTTAGTAGTAAAGTTAGGATCAGATGACAGGTCAGGGGTTTGCACCATCAAAAAACAAGCCAGCAATGATAGCTCCCATATTTATATCCTAACAGAGACTGCCAATAAAGTATAAATTTCCTGTAACCTGAAAAGCAGCAACAGCTGCACCTCTGCTCAGTTGTTTTGAAGGCCAACAGAGCCCAAAGTCTTCCTTGTGTTTTCAGGGCAAGAGCAGTAGAAAAATGGCAGCCAGCCACATACAGGCCTGGAGTTCAAAGGCTTTTGAGATCAGTTAACCTCCCTAGCGGTCTGATTATGTCCATATTTCTGTGCTCAAAGCGGTACATTTTTTTGCATGGAAATATGTTTTTTTTTTTATTGTAGGCCTGTCATTTTTAGGAATAACTCACTGAAATCTGTCCCGGGTATGATAAAATTTGAAACACAAAATCATAAATTATAATTTAATAAATAATCATAAAAAATAATAATATAATAATAATAAAATGTAATTCAATAATGTAATCAAACCAAAAACACTGAAATTTGATATAGAGCGCCAAGTTCGCACATCACTGAGCAAAGTTGCAAAATCGTTTTCAGTGTCTGATGATGAATTTCCCCACGAATCATTATCACTCAATTCTGCAAGTGGTTCTAATTTATTATCGCTGTTCTCTAGCTGGTCTAAAACCGATTTTGACCTAAAGGGACACTTAACAAGTCCTGTATCCATGTCCTGGTGTTTTGTGTGTCCCATGGATCAATAAATACACACTATATTCATCTATCCTCCGGTGTGCGGCTGAACCTTCTTCCTGTTGCAACGCTTTTGGACGCCATGGAAGTTTCCAGGCAGAAAGAACAGTAAAAAATGCAGGCAGGGCACAGGACAAAGCACTCGGGACAAAATGTATGTGAAATGCTTTGATACAGTAATGTTTTACTATGTGATTTTAGTGTATTTAGTGAATGTCACTTTTTGTCATTTTCAAATTTCCTGCCAGTTCCGTCCCCCCGTACGTCCCTACGTCGCAGGGAACGGAACCCAGAAGACAGATCCCGGCATTGGCCAGAGGACATTACAGGGGACACTGCAGGAGGGACATCGCGGGAGCGCAGAACAAGGTAAGTGCAGAAGAGATCCTGGAGCAGTGCCGCATGGTAAGCCCGAGTGTAGCTCGGGGTCACCGCTTGCTGCTGGTGCTGGTGCTGAAACTTTACCCCAAGCTACACTCGGGAATACTGCCAGGGGGGTTAAAGACATGTCTACCTTAAGTAGATAATAATCAGGTTCACCCTCCCTTACAGCCGGGGCCTTTTCTTCTGTTTATTGCCTCCTGGAGGAGTTCTTTAGCACTTGCCGTGCCTGTGCAATAAGCTCACATAGACTTGTATGGGGCACTATTCTGAGACTAGGAGACACTTGGGGTTGATTTACTAAAGGCAAATAGACTGTGCACTTTTCAAGTGCAGTTGCTTCAGAGCTTAGTAAAAGATGTAAAGCTTCACTTTACGAAGAATATCCATTCACGTGCAAGAAAAAAAAAACATTTTTCCTTGCATATGATTGGATGATGAAAGGCAGCAGAGCTTCTGCAGATTTACTAAGATTTAGAGCAACTGCACCTTGCAATATGCACTATCTGCCTTTAGTAAATCAACCCCTTGGTGTATGGCCTCATTCAAGTCTATGTGGTATCACTATGCAAATCCAACCAGCCCTGAAGAAGGGAGAAAACAAATAAGTAGCTGGGTGGGGAATTTCCAGTGTAGTTTAGATTAAAAGGGCAAGTACCAACCCTACAGTGTCTGCTACCCCTCTCTGCCAATCCCTCCACTGGCTCCCACTCGCCCACAAAATAAAAAATTCAAAATACTAACAACAACTTACAAAGCTATCCATAACTCTGCCCCTAGCTACATCAATCTGGTCTCAAAATATCATCCAAACCTCTCTCCAATCCTCCCAAGACCTTCTGCTTTTTAGTTCCCATATAATGCTTGCCTCCAGGTCTTCTCCCGAGCTTCTCCCATCTTATGGAACTCCCTGCCCCAAACTGTCCTGCTATCTCCTAATCTATCCCACCGTTAGACAATCCCAGAAAACCCCTATTTTTAAAGAAGTCTATCCTGCTTCTAACTAGTAAACTGCCTTTTATTTCCTCCATCGGCTCATCCCCCCCACAGCTATTACCTTTAGTATCACTCAACCCTTCCTCTTAGATTGTAAGCTCTAACTAGCAGGGCCCTCTGTTTCCTCTTGTACCAAATTGTATTGTAACTGTAATGTCTACCTTCATTTTGTAAAGTTCTGTGCAAACTGTTGGCGCTATATAAATCCTGTATAATAATAATAATAAAAGTAAGGGTGGAGAGGGGTGCTTTTACTAAAAGTGCACTTATTCCTCAAATAAATGGAGACCGCCTGCATCAGAGGGAGTATATAAGCACTTGGGTAGGGGGATTTCAGCTTGGGAAAATTAAGGGGTCTAGGGAAGAAGGCTGGGGGTTTTCTCTGATTGAGATCGGTTGTTCTTTGTTTCTGTTCCATATAGGTCAATAAGCACCATAAATGTATGTGAATCCATGGTAAACGCATCTCAAAAGACCAAATATAGTAGCAGCTTTGAAGCAGCTAACACGAACCCCTACCACTCAGCTTGGTCCTTCTCTAATGGGTTTCCTACGTTATAGCTGAAAGATGAAAACAGGTTTAAATGGACTTACCTTCAGACGTCATTTTACAAGAGAGATGCTTTATTCTATATCCAAGGACAACGTCATTATACACCTTTGTCCAAGTATATTATATAAAAATATCAAAGGAGTGTAACCACAATCCAGTAAAAAAATGTAATAGTCCACTGATTCATTATAAATACTATAAATGTAGTCCAGCAATTAGAAGAAATGATATTTGCAGCTGCCTAGTCTGTACCAGGGGCGGACTGACCATTTGGAAACTCGGGCACTGCCCGTGGGCCCGGGGTCAGTAGGGGGCCCCATGAGATGCCCCTGGTACCTTTTTCATAGCCTTTTGAGTTTGGGCAAGGACACAGGGGCCCCATGAACCCCTATTGCCCGGGGGCCCCATGAGTTGTCATCCGCCCCTGATCTGTACAACAGCAACAAAGTCATCATCCTCTGATTAGATTCAGGATTTTATTCTGTCTCTCATTTTGTCATCTTTCTCTTTATCTCTCATTATCTGTATAATATCTAACTGAACTATGCTGTCAGAATACATACAATTGTAAATAATAAGTAGGTAAATATATACAGCCACTGGGATCATTTAATAAATGTGCGACGAGAATTTTTTAGGCCTATCACATAGTAGTGTGGTAGTCAGTAATGTGGATTCATAAAATGTCAGTAAAAGGATTTAGTATTTGATCTTCATGCAAAAGAAAGGCATAGCGGCAAGCAGAAAGGGACTGTACCATGCTGTTTGTAGATAGGGGCTTTCCTATAGATGTTATCTTTACTTCCAGTGTCTACAGAAAAGAAAAAGGGAGAATAAATAAATGAGAAAATTTAGATTGCAAATAAAAGATTTGTTGAACAGAAGGGGGGAAAAAAGCAGAGATTGACCATAATCTATACGTTTCAAATGAAAGTGCAGTTGTTGTCTATGCACAGCAGAGGGCGCCATGTTGCAAAATACAGCCACAAGATTGCAGCCCAGCTCTAGGAAAGGCCAATGTACTCTCATGATTATTGAGGCACAGGGACAAAAAAAAAAAAGCAGAATTGCCCATAGCAATCAATCATTGGTCAGCTTCAACGCTAGAAAAATGACAGGTGTAACCCAACTAATTGTCACTGGCAACATCTCAAATTTTCAAAGTAATTTTGAAGCCAACAAATGCACTTTTACCTTCCACAGATAGAGGTTAGTACATGAAGCAAGCGTAAAAGGTTAAGAAAATGAAACGGCAGAACAAAATATCCTCAAATAAAAGCAGACACTTTTGTCAGAACAGGCTTGTTACATGTTATAAAAAATTGAATAAATAAATAAGTAAAATTAAAATATTATTTAGGGGCTATGCAGGGCTTTGCCACTTGGGACATTGGGGTATGCAGCGCTAGAGAACAGATAATAAACACGGGACTGTTTATGATATGAAGTACCAATACAGCAGTTCATAAATAGTTCATATATTCCAGCCTGAAAAGATGGAAATGATCCAATGATGTTCCAGATCACAAACGATGCAATAAGAGAAATTAGTGAGGTTGTGCGCTTACCAAAGTACACAAATATGAGCATTGTATGTAATTAACAGCAACCGGGCGCATCATGGTCTGGTCAACCGTATCCTGGGCACCATCTGGCCATGTATGGACATCCGGGTCACAGGTCACAGGTACAACGCTATCCAGGCCCCTTCTGGCTTTCAAATCCAAAAACGCCACCTTGCATAAGCTCATAAAAAACGAGCCGGGAGGCAAGAAAGCGCTAATAGTAAAGTACGTTTATTTAAGAACATAAAACAAAAACCAAGCAGCCAGGACTCACATTGATATAATATAATAAAAATCCAGGCCCACATCAATCAGCTCCCTGATTACTCAACATGCAGCGCATACAGATCAAAGTAAAATCAATAGAACCCTGGTGGTCAGTGGTATCACAAATACATAGCCAAGAGTATGGTGAGTATAAACAGAAATATACTCATCCAGGTCAGGTGAGGTAGTACCCTGGTGGCTAGTGGATCTCTTAGTAACAAAGGCGTCAATAGGGTGGATCCCCTAACATGTTTCGAGCTAAAGCTCGTTTTCAAAGGGCTTTAGCTCGAAACATGTTAGGGGATCCACCCTATTGACGCCTTTGTTACTAAGAGATCCACTAGCCACCAGGGTACTACCTCACCTGACCTGGATGAGTATATTTCTGTTTATACTCACCATACTCTATGGCTATGTATTTGTGATACCCACCAGGGTTCTATTGATTTTACTTTGATCTGTATGCGCTGCATGTTGAGTGTACCACTGACCATCAGGGAGCTGATTGATGTGGGCCTGGTTAATTAATCAATGTGAGTCCTGGCTGCTTGGTTTTTGTTTTATGTTCTTAAATAAACGTACTTTACTATTAGCGCTTTCTTGCCTCCCGGCTCGTTTTTTATGAGCTTATGCAAGTGGCGTTTTTGGATTTGAAAGCCAGAAGGGGCCTGGATAGCGTTGTACCTGTGACCCGGATGTCCATACATGGCCAGATGGTGCCCAGGATACGGTTGACCAGACCATGATGCCCGGTTGCTGTTAATTACATACAATGCTCATATTGTGTGTACTTGTGGTAAGCGCACAACCTCACTAATTTCTCTTATTGCATCGTTTGTGATCTGGAACATCATTGGATCATTTCCATCTTTTCAGGCTGGAATATATGAACTAATATGAACTGCTGTATTGGTACTTCATAAAAACAGTCCCGTGTTTATTATCTGTTCTCTAGCGCTGCATACCCCATTTATAGCTTATGGGTATTGAGGATTACCCTGTATGTCAGCTGCTTATTTGATTTACCCACCTTTGATACTTGGGACATTGGCTTCAGGTCTCTAAAATAGGGCCCTGGGTTTCAGACCTGCAATTACTACCTCCTAGAAAGGGTCAGAGTGCTAACTGGTTCCTTCTTGTTAGCTGCAAAGGTTGAAATTGTAATAATAATTTAGATAATAGACGGACAGCTATCCTTGTGTGCTCTTAAGCCTCTAGTGCTTGGTGGACAGTATATTAGAAGTTTATTATTGCTGTTTGGTACTAAAGGACAAGCAACAGGAGGAAAGACAATCACTCGGGTTGAGCAATATTTAAAGCCCAGCTTATTGCAAATATTTTATGAAATAAAACAGCTCCCTAGCAGGTGCTTGCAATAAAAAAAGTAGCTCAGGCTGTAATACTCACCTTTAATCCAGAGTTCACTTACAGCAGGGGTGCTCAACCTTTTCAAGAGCGAGAGACACTTAAGTGATTTGGTAACGGGTCACAGGCCACAATGAACTATGAGATTTAACCACCCCCCAAACCGCAAATGTAATTGAGTGTTACTGTCCTGAGCCCCCTATATGGCTACTTTTACACTGATGTGCTGCGGTTTACCCGCACTGTGGGTGCAGCACAGTGCACATGTGGCTTTCCTGTGGGTTAGCTGCACTGAGCCATAGACTTCTATTACACCTTGCAGGTGGGGTGCACGTTCTGAAAGCTCACCAAACCCACAGGATATAATAGAAGTCTACGACTCAATGAAGCTAACCCACAGGAAAGCTACATGTGCACTGTGCTGCACCCGTGGATCAGTGTGAAAGAAGCCTATTAACCCTTTTTTAAGTGCTAATATGCTCATTGCAAAACTGCAGGCTATGTGATCTTTGATACCCTCTTCCAGCTTCTGCTGGCATCGCTCTCCAGGCTGCTAGAAAGGTCCAAGATGAAGGGCACTTGGTATCACTCCACCAGGGACAGGAGTTGGTGCTCAAACGGAAGCATCAGCTTATGTGGCTCCTGCTCCCTCCACAGCTGCCAGCTTCCTCCACTGCCAAAGCTGGTCCCAAGCGCTCTAATGCTCTGGGATGGTGGGTTGGCAACCCATTGACCCCAATCTGGGGGTGCCAACCTACCATCCCAGCGCATAGGCATACGCTTCCCTGGTTTGAGGTTGTGGGCCACATCACAGGGCTTGGCGGGCGACGTGGATTGAGCACCCCTGTCTTAAAGTAATTCCTTTTCACCACCGGATGCTCTCAGTCTTCCAGGTTGAAGGACATCCAGTGTTAATGAACAATGAAGAATGAGGCCATGCTGAGCGTGTAGGGTATCATGGGACTGCATCTTTAACTGGCGCCACCACGGCACCGTTCAATCATATTCTAATAATACACAGTGTGAGGCCGACATCATCTGCATCATGGAGACTGACCACCATCCGAAACAGATCAAACCCTGTGTGTCATACGACCAGACTGAAGACTTTGGAAAAAGGGAAGTACAGAATAAAATAAAGCATAGCATACTGCCGGGGAACAATTCAGTAGGAGGGGGTGCTTAGGGTAGGATGGGCCTGGACCTGGGCTTTACAGTACTATAGAAATGGGAAAAGACACTGATAAAACAGAACAAAGTAAGCATAGAGTCAAGGATGTGGGCGCAGTTCATTGTGGCACTTTTAGTTGGGCGGTCTGAGGATACTCTGGGTCTTTTAGGACACTAGTAGTTTTTTTAGAAATAATGCAGATAAAGAGTGCAAATAAATGAACCTTAGAGCAAACAGGTGCAGAAAGGCCCAGATTTTGGTCTGGTCAAATTAATAATATCCATTGTTGACACTAATTTTAAAAGCTTCTTCTTACCTTTTATATAGTAAAGTGAAATTCATTCAGCTTAACTTTGGATAAAGAGGAGAAGGTTTAGAACTTCCGCAAAAGTTTTATTTAGATGGTCAGAGACAGAAACTGGGGAACCCCTTCCCTTTTCCCATGAAATAAATAAAAACCTGACAGTTTTCCCCCTTCCTAAAGCAGGCCATAGACGTGGGGAAAATCGGCCGGTTTTTTTTTTTTTTTTTGTTTAAATCGTAAATTGGTCGTTCAGATGGCCGACGTTGCCACTAATTAAAAAAAAAAAAGTCGGCGGGTTTTAGTCCCGTCTACGGCCGTCAATTAATATAACAGCGGTGTCCCTGCATAGAGACCCGCTATTATATTTGACGGAAGAAATAAATTATGTAGAAGAAGAAGAGAAACAACATTGTATCTATTTGTACTTGAATAGAAACATCTGTGTCTGAAATGCATACAAATAGATACAATGTTGTTTCTCTTCTTTTTTCTTCTCCATCTTCTTCTGCAAAATCTATTTCATCTTCTCCTCTTTTCTTCTATTCATCTTCTTGATATTCTATTTCTTCTTCTCCTGCAAAATCTATTTCTTCTATTACTTCTTTTTCTTCATAGTCAATTTATTGTCAAATTGGCCAGAAGAACGGCCGATCTGACCATAAATTACCGCAAAAATTGGCCGATCTAACAAATCGTCCCAGGATTTTCCAGTATGGCCGATTTTCAAAATCTCTTAAAATTAAGAAAAACGGCTGACATTTTTCCCCACTAACGGTACGATTATCAGCCGATTTTTTTATCGGCCGATAATTCGGCAAGAAAATCGGAAATCTATGGCCTGCATAACTCTGTCCAACCAAATGTAAAAAATGTTTTGGTGAAGTTTTATCTGAAGAGTGGCCAAAAACATCCTGGTTTTGCCCCCTATCTGAGTTTGATTCTTAGCTTACGGCTGTGTCATTTAGAGCTGGCTATGGGGGTAGAGATAGGTGCCGCCAGGGCTTTTTTCAGAAGGAAATTGAAGGTACTCAGTTCCACCACCTCTGGTTCTTACCCTCAGCTCCCTGTTCACTACTGTGACTTGTAAACACAGAAACCTGGCTTCTATGCTTACAAGGACAGCTTGTATCTCCCAATGG